TATATATATATATTATACACGCAACCAACACACCTCCTGCTGCCAATACTGCTGCTGCTGTTGCTGCTGTTGCTGCTGTTGCTGCTGCTGCTGCTGCTGCTGCCAATACATTGGATGCAGCAGCAGCAAAGGAAACACCCAGGAAACACAGTGTCTCACTACCGCACAAACGCATGCAGCAGCAGCAGCAGCAGCAACAGCACCACTAGCAACGCCAGTAGCAGCAGCAGCACCACCAGCACCCGCACCAGCAGCAGCAGCAGCAGCAGCAGAAGCAGCAGCAGCAGCAGCAGCAGCAGCAGCAGCATACTGGTCTTTAGCTTCTGTCAGCTCCCTCAGCTCCTCTGCGAGAGCCTCACAGATGGCGCGCTGCTGCAGCACAGCAGCAAACGCCCGGGAGGCGACGCGCTCAGCAGCAGCAACCTGAGGGGGAGACAAAAAAAATAAACAGAGACAAAAGAGACAAAAAAAAATAAAAAGAGACACAAAAACAAACAAAGGGCAGAAAAGGAGACACATCGATGAGATAAAAGACAGACAAACAAACAAACGCGGAGACAGCTTCGGAGACAGAAACCAGCACACACCCAAGCAGCAGCAGCAGCAGCAGCAGCAGCAGCAGCAGAGTATCTCACCTTTCTAAGGAGCGAAGCAATCACTTCCTTTGTGTTGTCTCCGTCTTTGCGGCTGCTGCTCCTCCCCCACCCCAAAGCAAATGAATCCGCAGAAAGACTAAAAGACCCAAAGCTGCTGCTGCTGCTGCTGCTGCTGCTGCTGCTGCTGCTGCTGTTGCTGCTGTTGCTGCTGATGCTGGCCTGTGAGCTGGAGTGCTTCACCTCCTCAAGTGTCTCCTCCACAGCGCCTTCGCTTTTGCTGCCTACGACAGCCTTTTGCTGTTCTTCGTGCTGCTGTTCTTGCTGCTGCTGCTGCTGCTGCTGCTGCTGCTGCAGCTGCAGCTGCAGCTGCAACTTTGTGTAAGAGTTCATCTGGTTTATTTCTGCGCGCTGCTGCTGCCAGCGAATCTCCGAGAGCATCGCCTTCACACTATGAGGCCTCGACAAGCCAGAAGGGGAGGCTACTCCTGCTGCTGCTGCTGCTGCTGCTGCTGCTGCTGCTGGTGATGGTGGTGGTTCTGTTGCTGCTGCTGCTGCTGCTGTGTCTTCTGCCTCTGCTGCCGCTGCTGGTGTTTCCCCTTGCGCCTCAGAATTCGCAGAAGGTTCTGCACGAGTTACACTTTCCGTTGCTGCTGCTGCAGCTGCTGCTGCTGCTGCTGGGCAGGGGTTAAGCGCAGCAGCAGCAGCAGCAGCAGCAGCAGCAGCGGCAGCAGCAGAAGGAGATTCCGTGTGGGGGTGAGAGAATGCTGAGGGAGACGGTGGAGGGGGTTCGTCTCCTTCTGGGGACTGCAGCGAGTTGTATGGACGGAGGGGTTGGTTCTGCTGCTGCAGCAGCAGCAGCTGCTGCTGCTGCGTCTGCTGCTGCTGCAGTTGCTGCTGCTGCATGTCGGCTGTTTGTTGTACGAGGACAGCATTAAGCTCTGCTGCTGCTGCTGCTTT